AATTGGTAAATGTAATCATAATTAATTGGTGTTTAGGTAAAAAAAGAAAGATTTAAAAAAATGGTGTGATAGCGACCATTTGAACTGATGTGTGCACTGACAAGAACAAAACTTTTTTTCTTGAGACATCAACAGTTTGAGTATATGACATGGTACATGTAGTGTGGTCTTTTTAATGTGATTCCTTTTCTAGGTATCGGAGATTTATATATGTGGGGATGGAACGAATCAGGACAACTTGGTCTACCCATGAAAGACCCACCAGGAAATGATACAGAACGTAAATTTGGTATGCTAGGGCTGCCCAATAAAGACCCCCCTAATAAAGAAAAAGAAACATGCCCTGATTCAGATACCAAGAAGCATTCTACAGACAATGAAATAAAAAAAGATGAATATGAAAAGACACAGTGTTCAGAAAATGCTCCCAATGTGAAAGAGGAAGAAATGACAGTAACCTAGAAACTGCTGGTAAGAAAAGAAAAGAACATAGTATTTTCTGCAAAGATGAATACAATCAAGAAAAAGATCTTAAAAAAGAAAAGTGTACATCAAAGAAAGAGGACTTTACAGACACTATGGCAGACCTGGACACTGTAATTCTCTGCCAAACACTGCCATGTTTGATGGAATTTCCAATTGAGGTCAATGTGTCAAAGGTCAGCTGTGGGTCACGACACACTGCTGCTCTTACAGGTATGCCTGCTGTATATTTTATATTCCCTTTCTAAAGCTTTATTTGGGCTTTGTATAGTCACAACAATTTTGCAATATGAAATAAGACAACAACTAATAGCCAAAGTACGTAGACAAAAATTAATCCAATTAATTAGTCCAAATTCAAGTGGGCCAAGGAAAGTGAGATTGTCACAAAATGTAGATAACCTTTTTACAACATTAGATCATTTAATAGTGCCAATAAGAAAGTCACTCACTGTATTGCAATGTTCATACTGTATTACTAACTCCCTGTGCACATCAACCTAAAATGTTCACTATTTCATGATTTTCAGAGAATCTCATAAAAATCAGATAAAACTAATAGAAGTTCCATTCCTATGGATTATTGTGCTCACCATGGGAAATATTGGGTTTAGCTGCAAATCCTGAAATATTATATCACAAATATTGATAGAAATAAGGTTGTGATGTCTAAGTCATCAAATTAAACATGATTTTGATTGTTGTAATCATGCAAGGCCACTTTTTAGGGGATTTTCTAAATTTAAATTGCAGAATTCTGATGATTCACGCTTGATGCTTACAGGGGTTGGTGAGAGATTTTCTACAGATCATACAAATATGGAATGCAACACCGCATTGTGTTTTCTGTACATATTGTGACTGATATAATTGGAATTTTTTTTTTGATATTTAAGTTAATTTTATTTCTTTTCAAAATAACAAATACACAGACAAGAAAAGAAAAAGGCTGTACACACTAACTGGTTCACCAACAAAACATAAAGTGACGTTGTCTTACGGTGCAAAATTGGCCCTTTTTTCTAGAAACAGAAACGTGGTGTTTCTTCTTCTGGAAATCATATTTTCTATCTTTCTTATATAACTAATTTCAGCTTTAATGACAACAAAGGATGGTAATTCTTTCTTCATTTTGATTGTATAGATGCATTTTTTAAAGATAATAATTAAATGGTTCAAAAGGTGCAAAAAACTTTCATCACCATGGAGAATCTGTTTTGCTGAAAGTGGCTGGGGGCACTGCAAAAGTTGACCCCAGTGATCATAAAACCTTATCTTGCACCACATGACAGTCACAAAAGAGTTTCACTAAAGTTATGGCAAAATGTACACATGTCAGAAATAACTAAAGGTGATTGAAAGTGATATAGCATAGCATTTGTGTACAGGATGTTATGGTTTAATTTCCATTGAATTCACAAAGAGTACTGCAAATTGTAACAAGAAATGGCATTGAATAGAAAAAATCCCATCCAGTTTCTACCCCCAACAAGTCTCGAAAGAAGGACTGACTAGATGGAATAATTAAAAAATCAGAAGAGATGAGTTTACGGCTGAATTTTGGGGTACAGTTAGAGAGATCAATCATTTGCTTTCGACCATATACACAGATTGGAGGATCTGGCCGCACAGTAACTGGTCTACTTATTTTCCAGTCTTTAGGGATAGCCGCAATGAGACCCTGCCATCGTAGAAACTGAATGCGGTTTAAACCCAATGAATTTAAGTCATTCAATTTTTAACCTACCCTTCTCATTAAAGATGTCAGCTATATAAACAATTCCTAGATCCTTTAAATTGAATAAAATATACTTTTAGTTTGAATAAGAATGTTTTTATTATTCCATATAATCTCATGCAGGGGAAATAAACTCATACTGTACAACATTACTCCATACATTTAGCATTTCCCAATAAAACGGTGGTAATTTAATATGTAGTGCGTTTATTGAGAGGTTGCATCTAAAAATTAATTTTCCCCCAAGTGATTTTAGATAAAGATCTAGAAACCGTTTCCATGGATGACAATATTATTACATGAAAACAAATATATAACTGCTGATTATGGTGAAATAGTTAAATCACAATAAATTAATGTGATAAATTATTGAGTGTTGGAGTACACAAATTTATTGTATATTCTAACAATATATTTATAATTTATCACAACATACCTG